TGGTAAATCATGAGATAATTGAATTTTAGATTAATGGTTAATCACAAACCAATCGGATTCGTCCCACGCACGGCCCACGACGATATCCGGAGATATCCGATGTAATTGCACGTTATTGAATTACATTTTAATTAAATTCGATTATGTAATTAATGTTCCCGCCATTGTTAAGTCGGCCATGATGGATGACCCGAGCCGCCAACGGTTAGCTGCCATATTTTTCAACTTTTGACATGTAATAAGCTATTGATTGATGAAAGCGAATGTTGAAAGCCGAACATTTATTTCTCTTACTGAATCTGGTTTAGCTTATTGAATGTAATGAGTTCTTTGATTGTATATGTACATGTTTTGATCGAATTTGGTGGGCTACCAGAATACGCATTATTAGGTAAAATAATATTTTTCTGTTGCCGGATCTAAATCTTTGCCTAATGGAACTCATAAAGTTTTACATAGCCTTAGTAATGTGAATGATGTGGTCAGATGTGAAATAGTCAATAATATCACTATGTGAAGTGGTCGTATACATCATGAACTGATCAATCTAAAGATCTCGCAATGATATGATGATTGAGTAGAAAATGGTTAACTACACGGATAATTTAAGTACGTTAATAATAGGGGTTAATATATGAAATTGCCGTCGTATAGTAAGAGATATTGACATAAAATCTTCATGGTGTGAGATTTTCGTGTGAAACTTTTTCACATGATACCTATGAGGTTTTTCTTTTAAAAAATGGGCAATTCGATTTCCGACTTTCAATTGTTTCTTTATTCTGCTTACATATGGAAATTGCCAGATCACGCGATTTCGAATATTTCCCCTATATTTTCTTGAATCCTTATATTATTCCGGTAACTCGAAGGAATTAACGCAATAACATACACTCAGCCTTATCTGGGACAAGGAATGAGTGTTTACGTAATCTCCATTATTGGACGTTCTTATATGAGAAAATTTTATAGACTAATGTGTTTATACTTACCTTAACATGTAACAGAGGATCGTTTCCGAGATGTTATACTCAGATTATAATCAGTCAGTTGCATTTTATCACCTAAAGTGAATACGCTATAACTCTGTACCTTTTTAAATGGGGAATAACGCTTGACACTGCAACTCTCATTTCTTGCTCCACAGTGATTCTTGAGCGCTATTTGTTCTTGATTACAGTTACCGCTGAAAATCCAGATTCACACAATTATGATGTTGAAAACGAAAAATAAAATTCTTAAAGCTTTTGATGTTACATTTGGATACTCATTTTGAACCGATAACCAAAACTTCACCAAATCGGAATTGGTGAATTTAGTTTTAAGACTGCTCTCGCAAGAGAGTTCAATGAGACTCTCTCCTTCTTGTGGTGAATTCTACCGGAGTTTGCAAATTTTTCGACATCATCATTTGCAAAGTATTTCGAAAACCATTCGATGAGCTTCGAAAGGTGTTGAGGCCAAAGGCCTTCAGGTCTTATGAGACAATCAGTTTATTAGATGTCGCATATTTATACAATTGCGGGAAGTAATCCTGACCGCCACTTTCATTCATTTTTTTATCCACAACTGCAGTTTCTTTCTAAACGCTACAATCTTCTCCAATAATTTCATAATGTGTATGTTGTGGCCTTGCAAAGACATATTAGTTTCTCAAATATATTGCACAAATATGCTAGTTTTAGAAAAAAACACTTTATCAGCAAATTATCTGGCGTTTCATGACGTTCTTGTTTTAAAAAAGTGCGAATTTCTATGTGTATTTCGAACACATGAGACAAGACATTTCCTCGTGAAAGCCATCGTAAATTGCAGTAATACAGTAGGGCCGTATATTTAGCTCCCATATCTACTCATAGTTTTTTTGAAAAGTCTGGCCTTTAGAGGAATAGTTTATTATGTAGTTTACGGCACCAATGAGACATGTATTAGACATGGTTCAATTCAGAGCTTATTTACTTTGATGCAAGAGCTTCCCTATGGATGATGCAATGAGTCCACATAGAATTTGTGTCTTTTATTCCACCATACCTACCAGACATGGATCGAGCACCATTAGTACATACACCGATACACTTTACCCAATCCAAAACCATTGTCTGCAATCAACCTGTTAAGAATTTTAAACAAGTCTTGGGCCTTCGCACTTTTGCTGATGATTTTGCAGAATAAAAGTTCTTCGAAAATAATATTATTAGACAGAAAGCGTACGTAGCCAATAAGATATGCGTCTTTATTCTTTATGCCATTAGCCTCATCAAGTTACAAAAGAAAAACCCTTGCCTTTCATTTCTTCTATTAATTGGTAATTGAGATCCTCAGCTATGTCATGAATTCTTCGACTGATAGTATTATTAGATAAGGGTACCGCGGCAATTAATTTTCCTGCCGATTCTCCCACCATAATATTCACTAGTAGATACTTTATCAGTATCACTTGAACTACCGACTTGCTTATTTAATAAAAATCGTGAGGTTTTTGACGAAAAACAAAGCGACTCAATTAAAACATAACACTACAACACCTCAGTCTCTTCGCGACTCGCTTGTAAAGAAACATGCATTTTATCGGCGAGTGAGTGACTTTGACGCGACGTACATAAGTAGGTACTTATCTACTCTAGGTAAATATTGTTGTTACCTGCTAATACTTATAATTTCGGATAATGATAGAGGATCGACTCACGGTGCCCCTTTTTACATTATACAGCGCACACTTTGGAAACCCCTGGGATAACCCATTTATCAGCACCAGAGAAAAGCATCAATAAAAATGATGCAAAAAAGGGGAAGATTTATTAATTTTGTGAAAAAAGACGAAGTTGCGTAGGTCAGTCAGTTTCTTGTAAGAATAATATTAAGGTAAATTGTAGCAAAAAGAAAAGTATTACATGTTTCGATACTTGTTTATTTTATACAAGATAATTCGTAATTATGGTTTTAACAAACAGTTGAAGCATAGATGCTGTGGTTTGTGCAACTATTAATATTTCAACAACCAGGCCATTGTGGTTTACAATCCTCTTTGGTGCAACTTAATAAAATACTCTTTTCGAAAAAAAAGAAACCAGTGAAACACTATAGTTTCCAGCTTATATTTTATTTCAATGTCTTTTTTTTTAAACGAGCAAAGGTGAACGTGCGAAGACTATATTTCCCGTACCTTCTGTTTCAGTAAGAAAAGAAAAATAAACTCGATGTTTTGATGTTTGCAATAAGTTTTCCAACTTGTAATTTTAACGAGTTGAGTTCGTGTGTTTGTTTGTTACTCTTTCGCATCATTGTTACTCAATTGATGATCATGAAATCTAGTAAAAACGTAGTCAGGCGTACAGGAAGTGATCTTTCACCAATTAAAACAAGTCTGTTCTCTAGCTAAAGCATAACTGTAGGGAAAAGCTAGTGGACTGATGACTTGTTTTTATAGAAATTCTTATTTAAAAAATTATGAAGCATATGACCCTTTAATCACGAAGTATACAGATTATTTAAAAATGCTTTGGTTATATGTAATTAAAGAATGCTCTGTGTCCTGCCATTTTGTCATAATTTCTGTAAAACCCACAGCTTTAGGTCAGTCATGCTGATGATAAAAAGAGATTAATCTGCCTGCTCCTCTAATTAGAGATCTGTCCTACTAATGGTATTGTATGATCTCAAATAAGCCCTAAATTTTGTATGATTACATTCTACATGTTTATTTTGGTATAAATATTTTACTATGCAAAAAACATAAGCTGAAAACAATAGCGGCGACGAATATCTAGATCAATGGCCACCAACACCACATGAAAACCTAATACGACCACCAATTGCATTTTCTTGCTTGAGCCTAATTCGATAATTTAAAAAGAATGTTTGGAAAATTTGAACAAAAAACTATTTAAAGACCATTTTGTATAGTCCAATTTACACAGTTACTTAGTACTAAAGTATTTAGTATTTATGGAATGCAGTATTAGGTAACAGATATTAGGTAGTGTTCTAGTCAGCTCCAGTATTAGGTAACAGTTTGTGGACACTTATTCACCGGCTCGACCGGAGTGCTATTAAAGCCTAACAGAAAAACGGTGTTAAGCAATTCTTTCACCAGCCCCTTTCCGTCCTCCCATAATTCGAGATGAGGGCATTTAAAGGCTTTTCTGCTTGTTTACCCCTTGCACCATAAAAACGGATAATTGAATAATTGTGTACTCTGCTAAGTACTTTGTGATTATTGGACACTGTTAACCGGACTTACTATCAATTTCAGTATTTTATGCATAAAAACTGGTGTTTATAAATGTCATATTTTCTACACAAACACATTTCGCAGAACTAGGTTCATTTACAATAATGATAAATACTGTTTAGTAACTTGTCTTATTGTCTGTATATTGCGTTAATACTACAGTACTTAATACTTTTTAAAGGCACAGTCAAGGCAAAGGGATTTCCTTAGACCATACAATAATAGTTTTAAAGAAAACTTAATAATACTTATTGGCTATAATAAATAACTTCAAGGCTTATAATGGACGGATCGATTAAAACTACAGGAATCTTAAATGAAGTACCTATTAACATAATTATTATGCACTAATATTTACTAAAACAATATCTTACATGGCGTTATTGCCTTTATACATTTGTAGTTACGTATCTAACTCGTATTTGGAACAGTATCATGTTTACCTTTCCATTTTTTTTTTATTTTGAATCTACATTATTTCTTTAACTTATATACTTTTTGTTTTTAATTTTAGGAGTGGACCTCTGAGAGTGAATCACATTTTAAACATATTCCAATTTAAAAATATAAGTTAAATTCAGTACTGAGTATTATAATTTAGATCGATAATGCCTAAACAAATTCAAAAAAGAAACACTGGGATTAACTTTCTATGCCACCACATTATTCTTTAAAAAAAAACCAAAGACAATATAGGTTTTCTCTCGATAACTGCCCTTTTACAGGGCCTAAAGAACCAGATTCGATCTCCAATACAAAGTAGACCATCTCAACTTATTAGGTCAGGGTGATGCCGTTGTCTTAGTATCTCTAGTCTTAATTCGTGTTCTCTTGCCGCCATTCTAAGGGCAGCAATACTGGAACTTCTTCTTTCAATTTCTGGAGCAGAAGTTTGTGTAGGAGGAGACTCACTCCCAGGAGATATTGGCGGCGACACAGGTTGTGGGTCAGGAGATTGCCGTGGAGGAGCAGCCAGACCAGCTAGGAGTGTGTGGAAAGGAGGGCTTGATGTGTAAAGTGGGGCACTAAAGAGCGGTGGTCGCGGTAGAGCTGATCCAAGGTATTGGGCTCCTAGGACTGGGCCTCCTGTGTATCTGTTAAAAAAAAACAGCTGATATAAGGGTTTTTAATTAATTAAATATTATCGTAAGTAACATTTTACAGACAGTAAAAAAATCATTCTATGAAAAAATCCTATTTTGGCTACTGAGTCACATGTGGGTTTGGTAGCAGTTTATAGTTGTTCCAAACAAAGTACATTAGACAAAATATTACTAAGTATACCCGAAAACTCAGTTGATGTCCATTATAATGAAACCGGTGTCTTAACCATTTAAGAAGCAGCACATCAGTAAACTATTGATGTGAGCATATTGCTTTCAAAGTCATTTCCATTATCCTATCGGCTGTGTTTCAATGCTACTGAAAATCAAGAATTCCACTCACCTAAAAGACGCTAACGCGTTGGCATCAAAAGGTTTCCTAAACCCAAAACCCAATTGAGAGAATGGGTTAGGCATAGATGCGACCACAGATGGTGGTGGTGCTCCTCCCGCAGCTCCAAGGTAAGGGTTATAAGGATGTGCTTGAGGGCCAACCTTTTCCTGCTTACGCCATTTGGCTCGGCGGTTTTGAAACCAGACCTGGAAAAATAAATGTTCTTAGCACCGTCATGTAATTCAAACCTGGTTAGCATTCAATAACAGGGACGTCCTGTTCATAGTTTATTGTGACATTAATAGATAGTAATCTTATGTATAAGGGTGTGTGTTAGTAGTGTGCGTGTTAGTACAAGAACAATGATCGCACGTGGACAGAAAACAACAAGTTTTTAGCTCGCTAGTGAAAATTGAGGCATAAATTATCTACTTAAGTCTACTACTACTATCACCAACAGCAAGAGCCTGTAATAGTCCACTGCTGGACATAGGTCTCTCCTTAGAAAAAATGTTTTGGCCTACTAAACCACGATAGCCAGACAGGTGGGTTTGTTTCAAGTTTTCCTTCTCTTTGCAGTGCTGTTGTTCTACGTAGTTTGTTTCCTTAGTCGGCTCTTATTATACCCACGGGATGAATAGGGGACTGGGTCACTCCGTATTTTTTATCCATTTATTATCCATTATTCCATTTATTATCTAGACTACGCCTACAACTAATAGAAATACATATTAATTAGGTTCAAAATTGATTGGCGAACAGCGATACTTATTGTAAATTATTAGTTCGTATAATCCCGGAGTCTCTTTACATTTTTCTTTAATCATTCTTTCATTCAGAATGTCACAAAATCATGTCCAATAAATATCAAAGATAAAAGCAAGACCGTGTCATAAAACATGGGAATCTGAACATCATTTCTTATAACAAAGATACATTATTATTCGACAATCTCATATTTATTTCATGATTTCGTAAAATGTCTTTCACAATTACTGATTCAATGATCTTGGCAAGAAATATGTATCGGTTTTGCAAAATTAAAGATACAAGGCAGAATTTAAGGACGACAGAAATGAATGCAAAGAAAAGGATGTAGTTAATTTACTAACAATATATTTTTGTTCCAAGTTGAAATTTAAAGTAAATAATAATAATAATATTTTCGGACACTGACACACAACGTCTAGTTTCAAACTATGCAGAAACTATGAAAGCTAGATTGACTGATAGAATATTTATTTACTTTTTTTCGTAACTACATACATATATACATAGAAAACACCCAAACTTCGAAACAAATATTTTGCAGAACATACAAACATTTGGTCCTACCCGGAAATCGAGCCCGAGACCGAGACAGTCGCATACGTTACAACTGCACCACCGAGGCAGTCAGAAAAATAAAGCTAGTTCAGGTTTCGAATCTATACCTCTGCGTCATTTATATCATGCAATAGCTGGAGGAACCAGTTGGGAATAAAACTTAGTTGATATTTCTTGAAGTTTTATGGCAAACGATCCAGCTGTTGGACATCTGTAACTCAAGAGGCAAAAATGCGTTGCCACCCATTAAATCCATCCTCCTAGAGTTAGGGAAGGTCGGTTTGAGCTCTGATAACCTCACTGTAACAATTGCAATGTAAGAATTGCTTAGCACCGGTTAACTGTCAGGCCGTGGTATTACTTCGATCGAGACGACACATTTATGTCGAAGCATAGCTATTTCGCGGTACGGTACTTACGGTAGTTAAAATGATATGAAAAACAGGCCCGTCCTTTATTATGTAAATGGGATTAAAACTGCTAAATTTTAGCAAAACAACGGACTAACCAGGTGCGTATTAAAGGCCTACCGCGTTTAATACGCACCTGGTTCTCCGTTGCCAATGCGGAGTGTATATTAATAATATTTTTGGAAATCTGACACACAACTCCATCTAGTTTTAAGAAGAGAAGAGAGGGAGACAAATGAAGAATACTAATTGACTTACTTTTTATAAATACATATAAATTATACATAGAAAATAAATAATCACGATCCACATATTAATTTTTGAAATATATATTTTGTCAAATATTTTTACTCGTTGATTTATCCTTTAAACCCAGTGGCCCAACTTCCTATGACTGGCCTTTAGGAGAACAAAGCGAAACAAAGTCTACTTATGCAGACTTGGATCCATATGGATAACTAAAATTCACTCAAAAGGTGAAAGTTCGATGTGGGCCTCCAGTGTGGTCTGTATTGTAAAGAATAATTTCCATTTTAGTAGACATCCTATAGACTAGATAAGTCGGTAATCACAGAACTCTTTGACTGCACACATGGCGTTATACTTTAAGAGGTCGCCACTCCGCTTTCTACTATGATGAGTGTTGTGGGCTCGATCCCCACATGGAACGACACTTTGTGTGATTCACAAATTGTTGTTATGAGTCTGGGTGTTCTTTGTGTACGTTTCACGTATGTTTGTAAAAAATAAGAACTTAACCAGATCTTTGGAGCTTTAAAACTCCAACCGGTTCGACACCGCAGTGAGTCATTTTGAAAGACAAAAAATACTCAGATCTGCCAGTCTTTTGAAAAAATAGGACTATCCCGAATTACATTTTCATTCGTCAATACTGTAAAAAATATGTATACAAAAAAAGATCAACCTAGCAAAGATTAAAGACAAAAGAATAAAGAATTTTATATCATATCAGCATGTGTTATGTCAAAAAATTTACCACTGTAAAGACAGTAGAGACATTGAATCCATTTATCCTTTTGAATATAATCTACAACAGTGCAGTATGATCTTACAAAAAAGTTTTTTGTTGAATGAAGTTTTAAATTGGTAAAGCTCAGATATTGTATATTGCCTATGGAGGCTATAAAAAGTTCTAAAACAATTGTTATGAAAAAATAATTAAAATTAATTAACCTCCTTTCTAAGAAGAGACCTATGTCCAATGAATTACTAAAAGCTGATGATGATGAAAAAATTAAGTCTAAAGCAATGAATCGGAGTCTCGTAAAGATAGACCTGAGAACCACTAAGGACTTGTGACAATTAAATATTTCCTAAGTAAAAAAAGCAAAATATATTTATGAAATGTATGTAATGGCATATGACGTCATCATAGATTGAGATAATTACATCTCGATTTGACTTAAACTCCACTATTGAGCTCCACTTAGAACGGAGTTGTTTATTATTGACCTATATCAATTTTTGACTTTCTGACTTTTATTTGCTCTGCTTAGTTGGAAACTAGATGGCGTTGTGTGTTAGATGTCCGGATGTGTCGCGGGGGACTATACAAACAAACATGAAACGGATATAAAGAACACCTCACCACTCATATTAGAGATAAATACTCTTATTAGATACCATAGTACGGTATTGAAGTAAAACTGCAGGTAGTAAAATTTAATAACAGCACTGAAACAGAACACCACCAAGGCTACAAAGGACTTGGCATCCTATTTAATTTTATATTCTATATAACAGTTATAATCTAAATTCCCCACTTCTTTGGGAACAAATATGCCGTCAAACAAATATGTTAAAAGAAGTAAAAAATATTGTCAGGAATTGTACAGTCATTATGTAAACTGTTATTTTTATGGCAATTTAAATTAATTCACTTATGATAAATGTCGTATTGTAAAAAATTAAGCATGTTTCTGTGGTTGTTGATGCGGTTTTAGCGGATGCTGTAATAAACAAGAAATGTTTTATGTTTAAGCTATCACACTACATTCTAAAATAAACCTTGCTAATCTACCTTATGGTTGAAAATTGAACCTAAATATATGACCTATTAAGTTTACAATGGCCATTACGGATATGACTTCATACGGTGAGGCTGCGAATTTATAAATGTTGTAATTGGTCGGGCAGTCAGACGGCATGCGGGTACGTTGTGCAAAAAGGTACCGTCTGGGCTCAGGTGCCGTGTTTAATGGCTTAACAGAGTCGCGCATTAAGGTAATGACCACGTCGGTTTGCGAGTTCAACCCAATCGACCATGGAGAGCCGCTAAAATAGCGCTTCAGGGCCAACAGTCCTTCGTGGAAAAATATTGACAAATGCATGTGTGAAATTTCCGAATTTTGAGCAGCTTTGAGCCGAGAAATCGGAATACAGTTTAGAGTATATGCAATTTGGTTATATTGAGATGCAATTTTAGTTACAGCTTTTAAATAATTTGTGCTACTGGTCACTTTGATTTAATAATAATAACATTAATATAGCTGCACAATTCTCACACACGACTGTCAGATATATTTCTTAATACATATATATTATGGATAGCTTAGGCCCAGACGATGTTCTGAGTGGGAATCAAATTCACAATCTTCGTCTTACCAGTCAGGGTCACTAATCACTAGACCAAGAAGCCAACTGATTATAAATGCATGTATAAAAGCACATCTTCAAGAAGTAACTTTCAATCAAATTAATTCAAGTATTTCACATAATTTTTAATCAGATCTAATCTAAAACAGAAATATCATTGGTTTTGCAAACTCATGCTGAGCGCGCAATTTTAGCCAACCACTGATTATGATCGAATTAGCTGGTAATATTACAAGGAAATTGCTAATGACCTCATTTAATAAACAAGGGCTTTGAAAAAGAATCCTGCATTAAGTAAAGAGATGGCAGCTTTCTGGTTTTGATATTGCTGTAATTTTTTTTATTCATAACCTTAAGTATTACCAGTACTAAAATCTGTTATACATACTCATGTTTGAAGAAACTATACCTAAGATTACTTGTAGGGCATTAAAGAATCATTGCTTAAAATAGAATAAATTTAAAATAAGAATCATTTTGAATTTATTCAATTGAAAGAAAATGTGGAGTTGAAATATATTTAAATTTGCTTGTTCTAACAGATATTTAAATAATTATGCTCTACTCGACGATAGATTCAACGGATGACTGAAAAGTCAAATCAGTACCTATCTTTTTCGTTAATGTCAGTACGGGTGAGTTCGTACGGTTCCATTTAAGTACAAAGTCAAATGTCGAAACAATGTCAAATTATTCATTTACGATATTAGTTTTATAATTATAAAATAAATTGACAGCGTTGAACGGAACAGGGGTATATTGTTGTTTTTTTTTTTCAATTCACCGTAAAAACGGTTAAATGTAAGACATCATTCTTCGTTGTAAACTAAATGTTTTTTATATCAAATTCGAAA